ATTAGCTCGAAATCCACACTGTGATTCTGGATAGACTCTGTCTGCAAGCACCTGGAGCCTCTTCAGCACAACACAGGCAATCAGCTTCCCTACAACACTGAGAAAAGAGATGCCATGGTAGTTATTGCAGTCACCCCTGTCTCTTTTGTTCTTATACAATGTGATGATGCTTGCATCCTTTTTTTTTTTAATTTTTTTTTATTTAGGAACAGGGATAGAGGGTACAAAAGAAAGATGAGATAGGAAAGGAAATTAGCTCGAAATCCACACTGTGATTCTGGATAGACTCTGTCTGCAAGCACCTGGAGCCTCTTCAGCACAACACAGGCAATCAGCTTCCCTACAACACTGAGAAGAGAGATGCCATGGTAGTTATTGCAGTCACCCCTGTCTCTTTTGTTCTTATACAATGTGATGATGCTTGCATCCTTCATGTCCTGTAGTACTCTACTTTCCTAAGTATATTCAGTAAGATTAGCTCCAGGAATTAAAAATTATATTCATATTCATTAGAACACCTCTGAATGGCAGATAGTCTGAACAATAAATATGGAAGGACCTCAGGAGGTGGTAAGCTACCTTAGGAGATTGTGAGCCTTGCAATACTGGAGGTATTAAAGAGAACATTGGACAACCATATGTCAGATCTGATTTGACTTGGATTCCTGCACTAAGCAGAGCGTTGGATTTGATAGCCTTATAGGCCCCTTCCAACTTAATTGTTCTGTGATTCTACAATGCTGCTTATGGATCTTCTTAATGTACTAGAAACTCACTACCTGCCATTCACAGACTGTAGAGCAGTAGTTCCCAGCTGGGGAAATTCTTTAGACCTCTGGAAGCAGCAGTCCATGCCTAGTTACAACTCTATATCCTTTTCTAGAGCAGTTTGATTGTGTAGTTACAATAAGACTTGTATTCTTGAGAAACAGAAACATCTGCTTCAGTGTGTCATGCTCTATGAAGAGCTCCCATTCCATTGTTTTTCTCTTACCAGTAGGGTGATCTGGTAAGATGGAGAGTCACCAAAGCAATCAGGGACACTGACCTCTGGGATTGTTTGTGTGAAAGGGGCCCATCTATAAGTTTCTACCTTCCTTCAAATAATGTTTGGAACTTGATAGTTTGGGTAGACTTTTGAGTCAATTTATTTAGCATAGAGTTCAGAGAACTCTAGCTAATGGGAGGAAAAATGATAGGAATGTGACTGCTTTCATAACAATTGAGGATTGCCTGCTTGCCAGCAATCTAAAGCATGGATGGGCAAGCTTCAAGCTTGTCAGATCTCCTTTGTCCATTTAATAAGATCCCAATCAAAACAAGTTACAAAAAAGACACACGTAAAGTATCATAAAATAAAATGGGCCAATAGGCACCTTTTGAACCTAGAGTTTTGTTTTCAGGCTCATAACTGAACTGACAGTCCCTTCTAGCAATAATCCACTCTTCATTATACCATTTTCTACATTTCAGCACCCTATCTATGGATGGAGGCTTGTAACATTGTTGAAGAAATATGGATAGAGGCTTGTAACATGGTACAGAAGGCAGCAACAAAAACCATACCAAAGAAAAGGAAATGCAAGAAAGCAAAGTGGCTGTCCAACGAGGCCTTACGAACAGCAGAGAAGGGAAACAAAATGCAAGGGAGATAAGGAAAGTTAAAGGAAATTGAATGCTGACTTACAAAGAATAGCAAGGAGAGACAAGAGGCCTTCTTAAATGAGCAGTGCAAAGATATAGAGGAAAATAATAGAAAGGGAAAAACCACATATCTGTTCAAGAAAATTGGAGAGACTAAAGGAACATTTTGAGGAAAAATGGACATGATAAAACACAAAAATGGGAGGGACCTAACAGAAGCAGAAGACATCAAGAAGAGGTGGCAAGAATACACAGAGGAATTG